AGAGAAGGGGGGAAACGGTAGCCCAGATGGAGTCGGCTTTATTGTCTCCAAAGCCATCTGAAGATGAGTTTGTGCCTTTTTTTTTAATTGATGGATTCGGTGCAGCTGGATTTTCTGAAGTTTGAGGAACAATGCCTTAAGTAAAAAAACAAAGCAAAACAAAAAAAAAAACCACGCAAAGAACACAGCAGTTCGTGAATATTTTTCCTCTGGTTGGGAAAACCAAGAACTGCCATCAGGAAGGAAGACTTTTTGGCTTGTGCTGGCATGACGGTGGGAAGCAGGCATCAGCTGAACAGAGCGTCTCCAAAAACTGTCTACAAGTTTGGATTTGTTTTGTTTTCTTTCATTGCTGTTTCAAAAAAAAAAAAAAAAACACTAAAAAAAAAAAAGAAAAAGAAAAAAATTAAGGTAGTTGCCAAGAAAGTGGCAAATACTGTTGGGTCTTTGAAATTCAACCATTTTTTACAAACAAATTTTCAAATGTTTTCTCTCTTCTACATTATCTAGTAATTGAACTTATCAATTTGGTTGTTGAAGCATGTATTAGACACAAATGCAGGTTTAAGACTGGAATGCTTTTTATTAAAAGCAACTAGCATGAGATATTGCTTAAATTGTTAGGTATAAATATATATATGTGTATAATGTATATTCCAAATGTATTCCAAGCTTAGAAACCTGATTCCTATGAATTATTGATAAAAATATTTATGATGCATTTATAGAAAAATATATGTAATAAATGCATACTATACCAGTAGCCATTGGAAGCTCCCTAGGGACTGATTTGAGAATTGGAACGTCAAAAAGTGCTTTGGAAAAGGATCCAGGTTGAAACTTGAGGACTTTCAGACGACAGGTTGGAAAGTTTTTCAGAAAGCCAACACGTTAGCCACTGGGCAACTACCCTAAACATTTGTATTTTAATTTAAGGTTTTTAGTTGTGATCCTTTTCTAACAAAAAAAAAAAAGAGTTTTTTATAGCAAAGACTATGAATTTGCTGTTAATTTTTATATTGATATTTCACAAAACCCTAAAGAAGCCTTGTTTGTGTGACTCTGACATTTCTTTTCTATTTGGCAGGTTTCGTTTCCAAACGGCAATAGCGTCTAAACATTTTTTCCTCCCACTTTTCTTGCTTGTACATTATTTTCCTTTTCCTCCCCACCCATTCCCCCCCCCTCCCCACCAATTTTTCTCCAGTCTTTTGTACAGCGAGCAGCTTTCTGCAGGCGTAAGGAACTGTGGCAGATTGTCAGAGTTTATTTTTCGGCCAGGGTGTGTTTTATCGAGGAGGAAGGGAACGCGATGGGCTCTTTTATATAACGATACCGCCGACTGTATATTTCCTTGGTTCTCTTGTAGTAGCTATGTAAAGAAATTAAGGAATTTTCTTACCTTCGCCACATTAGGATTCCAATGGGCGATGTCTTTGTCCTCCGCACGGATCGGAGCAAGGATGACGGGCAGCTTCGGGAGCTTGGGAAGCTCGTCGGACGCTCGCAGGACAGTTGGCATTTTTCTCTCCGCCGGATAAGACGGAGACGCGGACCCGCCCGCACACCTCCCCACCTCCTCTTTCTCTCTCTCTCTTTCTCTCCTCTTCCTCTTCCCCTCGCTGGTAGGGTTGGAGAACTTTTCCCGAAGGGATTTTTTTGGCTCGTTGCCCTGCACCAGCCGGACCTTCGGCCTCGGCTGCGGCCGCCGGCGGTGGGGGGACACGGCAAAGCCCTGCCACGAAGAGTTTGAGCAGCTCAGAGGAGACCGCAGCGACACGCGTGCCTTCTTACGGCAGTGTAGGATAGCACACACCCCTCGTCCCAACAACCAAGGGTAGCTTTTTTTTTTCATTACTACTATTCCTTTCTTCTGTTACGGTGACGACTGATGGGGTCGCTTCCAGTAACTTATTTTTTTCCAGTTCTCAAAGCGGCTGTTTTCATTCCATTCAGGACTGGCTCGCAGGAGGAATTTGGAGCATAACCGTACGTGTGAGCAAATGCAAGAAGCTTGTCTTTTGTTTCCCTGGTTTATAATGCAGTTTCAAAACCAGACATTACTGTATTTGAGTTTTGCGAACCCAAGTACGTGTTAAAATTACAAATAGCGTCGGTCGCGTAGGACCATCCTCAGCATATTCTAAAAATAATCTTCCCGTGTGAAAACAGACATACCTGGAGATGATGTGGTTTGGTTTTTCGGTTTTTCTTTTTTTAACACCGACCACTTTGCTGCTGTGATCTCAATTTAATCTGGCTGCCAAATCTGGTGACTGAGTTTAACTTTTCCTCTCGCCGTGTTCGCACCGTGGGCAGTAACCACGTTGACATGATCGTTTCTGTTGTCACCTCTTCCCTGGTGGGTTTTTGTATTTCTCTTCTCAGTCATGGCAAAGTTGGGGTTTTTTAATTTCTTTTTTTTTTGTGTTCCTGAGAGCTGACAGCTGGCCGTGCTGAGCCGGTTTCTTTCTGAAAAAAAATTTCAGGAGCTTGTCAGGATGCCACCGTCATTTTACAACATTTCGCTCAGCTTTTTGCCAGGGACGGAAAGATTTTTCCCGAGACGTTGGAGCTCGTCTCCTCCAAGCTCCTGGCAGCGTGGATCCGTTTGTGGCAGCACCCGCTCCCTGGGCGAGGTCGGGATGCTCTGTGGGGCCGGTGCGGTTGCGGAGAGCAGGGAAAGA